GTTAATTCTCAGCACAACATTTTGATTAAAACACTAGAACAATATAAAATTAACATGGCACACACTAAATTGATTAAAAACTGGCTAACTGATAGGTCTCCAAATATAATTGTTAATGGGGAATTTTCATTGAGTGGGTGTGTTTTCAGTGATTGTTTCTTGGCCTTTCGCTAATTAACATTTTTATCAATGATCTGGAAGAAAACATAAAATCATCACTGATAAAGTTTGCAGATGATACAAAAATTGGGGAAGTAGTAAATATGAAGAGGACACGTCACTGATTGAGAGCAGTCTAGATAGTTTGGTGAACTGGGCACAAGCAAACAATATATGTTTGAATATGACTAAATGTAAATATATATATCTAGGAACAAAGAAAGAAGGCCATACTTATTATAAAGGGGAGATTATCCTGGGAAGCAGTTGTGACGTTGTGCAGTCTATATGGTTTTATAAAAACATGATAATAAGTGAATATAATGTAACTGGGATAGTTTTATAAAAATTTGATAAGTGACTATAATGCAAATGGGATATGCTTCGTGCAAAAGGTCTCTTGTAAGGTATCATTACAAAGCTTATAATCTACCGAGTATGATCATCTGATTTGTATAAATGGTACCACTCTTGTATCTAAAACTAGAAATATAAAATGTAACTCTGAGGGCCTACTGTGATTATGTAAAGTGTGGGCCATTAATGATGGTTTGGAATCTTGATGACTCCCATTGTCTGCAGATGACTGTGTTTACCTGTGAGTCTCCCTGTATATGTGTGTGCTGGCAAGTGAGTAATGAAGTCTTGCAGTGATATGTGATCATGTCACCTGAACTGGAATCCATCTTTAACCTGGTGCTTTTCCAGTGAGGGGGGGTGGAAACCCAGAGGGACAAAGGGTTCCCGCCTTATGCAAAAGATATATAAAGGGGTGGAACAGAAGAGAGTGGGGAGAGAGGAGCCATCATGGAGAATCCCCTAGCTAACACCTAAGCTGGAACAAGAGCTGTACCAGGGGAAAGAATTGTGCCCAGGCCTGGAAGGTGTCCAGTCTGAGAAAAACTTACTGAAGCATCTCTGAGGGTGAGATTATCTGTATTTAGTTTGATTAGGCATAGATTTGCGCATTTTATTTTATTTTGCTTGTGACTTACTTTGTTCTGTCTGTTACTACTTTGAACCACTTAAATCCTACTGTCTGTATTTAATAAAATCACTTTTTATTTAGTAATTTACTCAGAGTATGTATTAATACCTGGGGGAGCAAACAACTGTGCATATCTCTCTATCAGTGTTATAGGGGGCGAACAATTTATGAGTTTGCCCTGCATAAGCTTTATACAGGGTAGAACGGATTTATCTGGGTTTAGACCCCATTGGGAGTTGGGCATCTGAGTGCTAAAGACAAGCACACTCCTGTGAGCTGTTTTTAGGTAAACTTGCAGCTTTGGGACAAGTGATTCAGACCCTGGGTTTGTGTCTGGAGCAGACTGGCGTGTCTAATTCAGCAAGACAGGGTGCTGGAGTCCTGAGCTGGCAGGGAAAACAGAAACAGGGGTAGTCTTTGCACATCTGGTGGCAGCTCCCAAGGGGGTTTCTGTGATCCAACCCGTCACAGCAGTGACTCTGAAAAAGATTTGGGGATCGTGTTCGATAATCAACTAAACATGAGCTCCCACTGTGAAGCTGTGACAAAAATCTAATGCAGTCTTGAGATGCATAAACAGGAGAATCTAGAGTAGGAGTAGTACTCTACAAAGTTATGTCAACATAATTTGACTTGTTTCAACTTAGTTTTGCATGCAGCCACATCTAAATTTGTCTCCTCCTGACATAGGCACTGTGTTACATCAATACAATAACACCACTTCCCCAAAAAAGTAGGCCAAAGTCACTGTACAACAGTAATATTAATGTAGACTCTACATTACACCATATTATCTGTGTTGACTCTAACAGTCCTCTAGCAGCTGTCACACAATGGCTCATCCTTGTGACAGTGGCTACTCTGATCCCATTTTCTAACTCCATTGCCCAGGGTGGAGTCACAGATACCAGAAGTCCCCTTCTCCCCTTTAAAAATCTCAGGGAACTTTGGAAATGCCTTTTCCTGGTTGCCCACCTTGGCAAGCATCCAACCATGCTGATTCATTGCACAAAGAGAGTTCCACCTAGACCTTCCTGCTTGCAGCAGGACAGAAGTCCTGGATCTCCTTGGCCTGTGGAGAAAAGAGGCTGTGCAAGTCCAACTATGGAGCAACAGAAGGAATATAGATATGTACACGCATATTGTTCAAGGGATGTGCAACATTTCATTCTATATTCTTTTTGAAAATATGCTTATGATATGAATATGACATAAATATAATTTATGCAAGATAGCTCATGTGAGATATCATTGGAAAGGTTAGGATTTACTGAATGTGATTATGCAGTTTGTATGCCTGTATCATATCTGTATCTGACATTAGGAATATTAACTACGTATCTGTATTTCAAATGTGTTACTTTGGGTGTCACCCCTAACCAGCCCTTCAGGTACAGCAATGGAAAACCCAGACAGGGCTAATGGGCCATTAGAAGAGACAATGGACTGTAAAAGAGCTTAGGCTTCCTGTGGAGGCTCCAGACAGCCTACGAGTAATGGCTGCCACAGCCCTGCAGAGACATGGGTCTGAGTCACCTGGTACTGGACCCACCCCTTGGAATGCCAGTGTTCTTCCACTGGGAGACAAAGGGTTCCTGCCTCACACAAGAGCTATATAAGGCAGGGGAGTGACATCATCATGGTTCTCTCCTCAGACTCTCCACCCAAAGAGATACTGAAACACACCTGGAAGCAAGAACTGAACTGGGGGGGTGGAGAAGGGTTGAGCCCAAGCTGGAAGGGCATCTAGCTTGTGAGTAATAATACCTGAGGTCTTAACCTGGAGACCAGTGCAGCTGCCTTTTCAAGACTTTCTGTAATCTGCCTGCAACAATATCTAGGGTGAGGAATTACTATTTGTAACCAATTTATTTAGTGAAACAAGCTTAGTATGCGTGTTTGGTTTTATTTGCTTAGTAACATGCTTTGTTCTGTTTGCTATCTCTTTAGCCACTTAAAATCACCTTTTGTAGTTAATAAATTTATTTCTTGTTTATAATATAACCC